CATGAGTGAATAATTTTGGTTTTGTCCTAACCAAACCATATGAGATAGTTATCATTGCTCCTTCTTTTACAAATGAGGAAGCTCAGGTTTGGAGAAGCTAAGTAACTTTGCCCAAGGTCACATTAAGTAGGAATCCGGGATGCATGAAAGGTTCAAGTCTAACTCTTTGTATTGTGTCACACTACCAGGAAAGAGTAACAACTAGTACATTTCAGAGCCTGAATAATCCAAACTCTGGGACTTCAAAGTACTGTGCTTATCTCTGTACTACATTTATATGGATATATTTAAAAGATTGCAGTATTTTTCAAAATCCATTTTGTTTTCTGTCCCTGAGGATCAAAAGATTGTATGACTAACTTTTATGTGTTCCTATTCTATCTTTCCACCTCAAAAAAAAAAAGTTTTTTTAGACTTACTTGTTACTTGTCAGATTCTATAATCTTTAAAAGCCAGGGTAAAAGAAATATTGCCATCTGAAAGTATTTCAAAGTAGCTCTTGATACAGGCCTGTTCTCCCGAGAACATTTTAGTTAGTGCCCAGCTGGATTCCTTTAAACTAATTATGATGAGAGGGAGCATCCCAGTATTTTGAAGTGTGGTAATTCAGTTGTTAGATTTGTTCTTTAGGTCAGCCAATCTTCATATCAAGAAGGTATATAATCAAGGGTTCATTTAATTTCTTTCAGTTTATTCACATTTATAGTTTTCATCTCTTTGCAGCCTTTGTGTTAATTATCTTTATCTTTATGATTTTTAAACTGTCTTAGTAGAACACTAGTAGAAAGAGCAGTGGACAGAGAGACAAAGATTTTTATCTTTTAATCATGATAATTGAATAAGGCACTTTATTTCTGGGGATCTGTTTTCCCACTGTAAGACTCAGAGTTAGGTTGATTCCAACATTCTATAATTTAACTCCTTAATGCTGTTTAACAAATACAGAAGTTTGTATTATTCTCTTAAATTTTGTTTTTAAGAGAATGCTTTACTTCTACAGATTTTAAAGCACTTAAATGTTACTAATTATCCATTATATTTCTAAGAGAGAAATTTAGTTAAATGACTGCAATTAGAATGTTTGAGCTTTAATAAAAAAAGAGTAGTTTAGCACTCAGGGAGGCTGAGACTGGCGGATTGCTTGAGCTTGAATTTGAGACTAGCCTGAGTAAAAGTGAGACCCCATCTCTACTAAAAGAAAAAAAAATAGAAAAATTGAGGCAAGAGCATTGCTTCAGTTCAAGAGTTGAAGATTGCTGTGAGCTATGATGCCACGTCACTTTACCCAGGGCAACAGTTTGAGACTGTCTCCAAAAAAAAAGAGTGGTTTATCATAGAAATTCATGAATTTTGTAGACTATTTTAAGTACATATTTGAAAATTACATTTTGTTAACTATTACATTATATTTATATATAACTTTAACTTAGAATTATAAGAAAATTAACTTTTAAAAAGTAACTACCCAGGATAGACAATACAAAGTTCTTCTGTTGGAAAAGATCACTTTTTTTTTTTTTTTTTTTTTTTTTTTTGTGAGACGGAGTCTCACTCTGTTGCCCTATGTAGAGTACTTTGGTATCAGCTCACAGCAACATCAGATTCTTGCGCTCAAGTGATCCTCTTGCCTCAGCCTCCTGAGTAGCTATGACTATAGCAGCTGCAGTGCTCAGCTAGTTTTTGAAGATACAGGATCTTGTTCTTGCTTGGGCTGATCTCGAACTCCTGAGTTCTAGGGATCCACCTGCCTCAGCCCCCAGAGTGCTAGGATTATAGGTATGAGCCACCATGCCTGGCCTAAAAGGTTCCAGCTTTAATCAAAAGCAAATGGATTCAAGTAAACATTTAACTATCATATCACTTATAAGACTTCAAGTTTGATTTAAAGGAAACTTTTTTTTTGTAAGAACTCAGTGTAAATTGGAAGCCTGTTCATGTTGTTTCAAGGAAAAGCTAGTATGTTTTAACTCAGAAGCTTATTTTTGCCATTATTTTGATCAAATCTGTTTATCTCATGAAATTTGATTATTTGTGTGATAATCAAAATTTTATTGACATTAGACAAGAAGACTTTTTGAATAGGATTACGTAGAAATTGAGCTATTTTCTCTTGGATAGGGTAAAAATCAAACTTATGAAACTTATAATGATTTTCAAGGATGAGAAGTTAGTAGATACATCTGTTTTAGTTGGTGAATATGCAGACTCATTAATAACTGTTAATGATTTTTTTTGAATTATTACTGAGGAATTGATAAACATTTTTTATATAATTAACTGTCAACAAGTAAGACATTGATTCTATACAATAACCTGGCTGGGGGCTTGATATGTCAGTTTAAAGTATAATTCTGACAGGTTTTCTATAAGAGAGTAATTCTAAGTGTTGTAATTTGAGAAACTCCTATTTTCTGGATTATATATATTGTATATGTTGTATTTCCAGTTAGTAAGTTTTTATAATGAGTAACTATTGAGTTGGTCAGGAGATGAAGAAAAGAAAATTGGCAGTAAAGACAAAGACCACTCTTTGTAAAGCCCCTCATATAGCATTTACTTGAAGAAAAAATGATGGATGGTACTCAAAACCCTATTTATCTAAGACAGTGTTGGGGTAAACAGGCATAAACTGTTATAGATATCTATGATGTTAGTGTGCATACCTTAAAGCTTTATTTCTTTCAGATACATATTTTTAAAGATACTAACTATATTTGCATGTAGGCATATTTAGGGAATGTTCTGATGTGGAGGGTATGAATTATAAACTAGGATTTCTGGATATCAGTTTCTGTAGGTAATAAGAGAATTATTTTAGGTAGAACTATAAGCTGCTTTGACTTTAATGGTACCTCTATATTTTACTAAAATATAATTCTATGTAGTTATTTGGGGAAAAAACTAAAGATGTACAAAATAATTGAAAGTGTTTGCTTAATCCTTTGTCCTTAATCCTTAATCCTAAACTAAAACTTTTAGACACAAATCTAAAATATCTGGTTGCCATTCTTCCTGAACATTATGACAGTTATCCAGGCCCAAGTTATTTTGGTAGATTAAAATTCTTTTTTGAAGAAGTTTACAAAAAACATAACTGGTGGGAAATAGTTTTTTTTAATAATAATTAAAGTAGAATCACTTATTCTCACAATTCTAAAATATATATTGGACTGTGGTTTTTTGACCTGTGTTTCCTAGGAAGACAAAAGACGTATTCCAATATGTGAAACTGAGATTTTTCCTTCCAATATGTGAAACTGAGATTTTTCCTTCAGGAATTCTTAGAATAACATTATCTGTAGTTAGACTTCACCTTGCATTTTATTTATTCATTTACTCAACTAATATTTCTTCATTCCTACTTTATGCCTGATACTTTTTTAGATGTTAGGAATAGTGTAGAGAAAATACATAAAATCTGTTTTCTCATGTTGACTGAGGTTGATTTGTAAAATTATTCTTTTGTGTTGTACTGTTGTAATTGGTGGTAATAATATTGTGTGTCCTATTTGATGCTAGATGTATTTATGTGTATATATATGTACACATGCATATATATATTTTTAAAATTATAATAGTTAGAAATACTATTGTTATGGGTCTACTTTGATGTAGATATAGAGAGGGTGCCAAAAAAATATATACCATTTTAAGAAAGGAAAAATTTCTATTAAATTTGTAATGCTCAAGTCAGTTTGACTTCTACAATTACAAGAGATGCTCAACATGACTTGTGTTCATCTTTTGTTACTGGTATGTACTGAGCATTGCAATTTTTTTTTTTTTTTTTTTTTTGCAGTTTTTGGCTGGGGCTGGGTTTGATCCCATCACCTCCGGCATATGGGGCCGGTGCCCTACTCTTTTGAGCCACAGGCGCTGCCCCAGCATTGCAATTTTAATACAGTTTTTTTTTTCTTTTTTTGGCACCCTGTGTGTGTGTGTATATATACATATATTATTATATTCTTTTTATGTAAGGATTATTTTTAGTATTCTTGTTTTCTCTGTTTACTGATTTAACATTACCCTTAGATTAAAAAATTGGGCACAGTTTTTGTTTTTGTTGTTTTATTGTCTGATTTTTATATATGTTAGCTCTTGTCCAGAAATTTACTTGTGTTTTTTGAGATATGGCTCATGTTTCAAGGAATTTTGGCTCTAGGGCTCAGTTATTTAGTGCATATTATTTATAAAATTGTTAATTCTATACTCTTGAAAATGAGTTAAATTTATAGGGTAAACAATTATGCTTTATTGAGTGAGAGTTTGATGCAGATAGTACTTTTCATTTGTGTTCTTACCATTTGCATAGAATCTAGTTTTATATTTTTTGATCAGTTCATCATCATGACTGAATAAATAAAGTAGTAGAGAGTTTACCCATAACCTGTGCTTTTGATTTGGGTATACTTTTTCCACTTGGTAGCATTTAAAAGATTAATGGGTAAGCATATGATTTTTATCAAGACATGTAAAGAGTAGGTTAGAGTGCTATGCTTCTTAAATGTTGTTAAATCATTTGAATGTACTTATCTTATGTCTGTTTCTTAAATTGAGTTTCAAGTATTAAATATTTAAAATGGCAATTTTCTGCTGGGAATGGTGGCTCACACCTATAATCCTAGCATTTTGAGAGGCCAAGGTGGGAGAATCTCTTGCGGCCAGGAGATCCAGACCAGCCTGAGCACAAACCAGACCCCATCTTTACAAACAATAGGAAAATTAGCTGGGCATGTTGGCACACCCCTGTAGTCCTAGCTGTTTAGGAGGCTGAGGCAGAAGGATTGATTGAAAGAGTTTGAGATTGTAGTGTTCTGTGATGATGCCACATTGCACTCTAGCCTGGGCAACAGGAGTGAAACCTCCATCTCAAAAAAAAATATTTTTACTATTCCATATTTTAAAACTGTACTTTGCTTCATGATGAAACAGTATGGGAATGGAATAGATTTTAAACCAAATAAATACTTTGTTTTCCCTGTTTTATTTATGCTTTTTAGGTGGCAGCCAATGCACACATCCCTCCAGACTACCTCCTTAAAATTTGTGAGCGGATTGGTCCCTTACTAGATAAGGAGATCCCTCAGAGTGTTCCTGGGGTACAGACATTACTAGGTGTTGGTCGGCAGTCTCTGTTACGGGATGCCAAAGGTGAGATTTTCAGATTTTAGAACTGTGATATCATAGGAAAGGAATAGAGAGCAGCTTATTTTTCAGTTGAGTATGTCCCCATGTTTTTCTAAATACTCATTTTCATTTAGTTTTATTTTACTAATATGATTGTTTTCTTAGTGTACAAGTAAATTTTTAGAGACATAGAAAGCAGTCTTTTGTGTAAAACCTTGACTATCAAAGAAGGGTAGAGTACTAAATCCCTTTGTAATCATGGAGTAGAGATCTCAAAGATTGCTACTTTGATTAATGCAGTATAAATGTTTAAAAGATTCTGTTGTTACATTATAATATTCTTACTCTGTTGGTCTTGATAATAGCATCCTAGTAAATGTGTATTGTGCATTTCGTAACAGGTAAATAAAAATTATATGTAAAACTTACATAATTGAAAATATTTAAACTATCAATCAGTGACTTTTAAATAACAATTTCTTTACTCAGTTTTCTTTTTTTTTTTTTTTTGAGTTAGGAGCCTCAAGCTGACCCCCTGGGTAGAGTGCTGTGGCATCACAGCTCACAGCAACCTCCAACTCCTGGGCTCAAGCGAGTCTCCTGCCTCAGCCTCCCGAGTAGCTGGGACCACAGGCGCCAACCACAATGCCCGGCTATTTTTTGGTTGCAGCCGTCATTGTTGTTTGGTGGGCTCAGGCTGGATTCAAACCAGCCACCTTGGGTGTACATGGCTGATGCCTTAGCCACTTGAGCCATAGGCGCTGAGCCTTTACTCAGTTTTCTTAACAAATTTTTTTCCCAAGTTTTACGTGGAACCCCAATATGTAAAACATAAAGCGGCATTTGTAAACATAAAACGTGTAAATTAATAAATACTTTCAGGTCTAGTAATCTAATGTTTCCTAATTCAGCAAGATAAATATTTCTGTGGAATTATGATACCAGGTTTTCCACTTCTCAGTGTATAATTTATGGAAAGTTTTCAGTTGAGTTAATTGGTAAGTTTCCAATAGAATACTAGAATCTTTCTGTTTCAAAGACAAATTATTAGTAATATTTAATATTTGGTTTAATTTTTTGAACTGAACATAAAGGTCAGACAAAAACTATACTAAATTATAATCTAATATGCAGTGTTGTTACCTGTCATGGTACAACTGACAATTACTCTTTGTGCCTGAATTTCTGTGGCATGTTTGTACTATGGTCTTATCTTTGCTTGTCCAGTTTTATGAGTCAATATGTATAAACTGAAAGATCAAGAAGGACTGATTTAAACTTAAAACCTTATTAATCTGTGATTAATTTACATACAATTCAAACATGTGCATAATAAAAACTTTAGTTAAAGACCAGCATAGAAATAAAATATTCAAACATGTGCATAATAAAAACTTTAGTTAAAAACCAGCATAGAAATAAAGTATCCTGATATGTTAAGATGTTGTATTTACTAGTCATAATTTACTCATAACATGTTTAAATTCATACATATTATTTTATTGTGGTTTTAATAGTTACAGATCTATTCTAAGAAATGAAATTGAAATCAGATATTTGCCTCTGAGACACAGTTTAAAAAAATCCACTTTCTTGACTAACTTATTGGTCTTTTTATATAGATTATAAGAGTACACTATGGAATGGGTCTGCTTTTGCAGCTCTACATAGAGGCAGACCTCCAGAACTACCTGTAAATTATGTGAAACCTCCAAACGTGGGTGAGTAAAATCCAATGTGAGTAAAAAATATTCTTTTCTTCCTGCCTTTGCTTCACAGGTATAAGAACATATTCTTGATTCCTTCCTTCCTGAACTCATTAGAAATCCAAAAATGGGTGCCAGAATTAAATTTGAAGTTTACAATCTTGAGGAGTTTCATAGTCATCCTAGACTTTTAAAACATTTTTACTTAAAGCAAATATAATCATATTTTGTAAACATTGACCATTTTCTTTATTTCATTTCATTTCTTTCTTAGCAGAAACATTTCTTTTTATATATAGGTATGTTTTAGCCATATGTTTGTTTGTTTATATGTGTATGTGCTCAGTTTCCCAAAGATTTTATAGGGAACTATGTAAAGATAGATTTCGGAAGGAAACTAAAGTACGTCCTTGTTATATAAGTTTGCTCTCACAAAGTATGTGCAAAACCAAGTTCATGGATAAATAATTGCTCTTCTTTTTCTCTGTTCTAGTTCTTTTGTGTCTAGTGCCTGTGGAATATGCCTAAACATTTGAAAGAAATGAATTTCAAATTGAAAAATAAGAATCCTTTTCTAAAAGGAATACTGTTATACAATAGCTTATAAAACTTATTTCAAGCAGTTAAATTAATTGAAGCTAGAAATAATTTTAAAAAGTATTTAGGGCAGTGCCTGTGGCTCAGTGAGTAGGGTGCCAGCCCCATATACTGAGGGTGGTGGGTTCAAACCCGGCCCCGGCCGAACTGCAACAAAAAAATAGCCAGGTGTTGTGGTGGGTGCCTGTAGTCCCAGCTGCTTGGGAGGCTGAGGCAGGAGAATGACCTAAGCCCAGGAGCTGGAGGTTGCTGTGAGCTGTGATGCTACGGCACTCTACTGAGGGCAAGAAAATGAGACTCTGTCTCTAAAAAAAATAATAATAATAAAATAAAAAGTATTTAGACAAAATTGCGATTAAGCATTCAGAAAGCTTATTAAGGAAATTCAGGTACCCTGGAGTATATTGCTAATAATACTCTTCCATAGACTTGATGTTACTTGGAAAAGTTGAGTACTAGGTTGGATCTAATTGGATGTGATAATGCTGTTTTTTTTTTCTTTTTTAATTTTCATAGTTAAAACTAGTTTTGTAGTTTATTCACCATAGTATAATTAATTTATCAAATTGAAATGACATAGCTTTTATTATTCATACATTTATTTACATGCAAAGATAAAATATTTTTTAGCTATAATGTCAACATTAGTTTGTATTGCTTTATACTTCATTCATCAAATGTTAAAATGGTGAAGAGCCTTTAGTGTTAGGTTTTTAGGAGTTCTTTATCTTCTCCCTACTCTCTTTTTTCTTTTAACTAAGAATATATTTTCAGACTTCTGGATTTTGTACAGTAAACTCTTTATACTCACTTGAATCAGTTGTTCTTTTAGTAACAGCTTAGAAATAATAGTGCCATTGATATTTATGTTTTAAAATTCATCTTAAATCAATTGTGTTATGTGGGGAGAAGATTTTAGAATACAGAGGTAATTCAATCATGTATTTTAATGTAATACATTCTGGTCAAGATACTTACATTTAAAATATTTAGAATTCAGAGACTGTTAAAAACTCCAGAATATTTAACTAAGAAAGTAAGAAAGATGAATATGAAGTCTTGATTGTAATTTGAAGCAGATTTCTCATTGTGGCAGATAGGTCTCCCTAACTACTTTAAAATCAATCAGTTTTATAATTTTCCAATCTAAACAAAATTTACGATGAAGATAAGTCTTAAAAGTTTTATCAAAGAATATTAGAACTGAAAGGACTTTAACAACACTGTTTCTTGAAAATAAAATGAATTCTATGGTCAAGTAACTGTGGGAAACAATGGATTTTCAAAGATAATGGGGAGCCTGGCACAGTGACTCAAGCCTATAGTCCAGCAAACTGGGGAGGCTGAGGCAGGAACATCACTTGAGGGCCAGAGTTTGAGTGTATCTGGGGCAGTAAAACCTAAAGAAATAAAAAAAAAAAATTAGCCAGATTTGGTGGTGTACCTGTAGTCAGGGAGGAGGATCACTTGAGCCCAGGAGTTGGAGGCTAGAGTGAGCTAGAATTGCAGCACTGCATTCTAGCCTGGGTGACAGAGCAAGACCCCATTCCTTTAAAAAAAAAATAGTGAGATGATGACAAATTTGAATGAATATAGGACTATTGAGAACCTTTCATGCCTAAATGCATTGTAAATTACCTTATAGGGAACATTTCCTAAGTAACTTTACCTAGGAAAACCTTTTCCCAGGATACCTGTAAGATTCTGAAAGTTTCCTGGGAAGGAATTTGGGAAACTGTGTTGTAAACTCCTCTGTTTACAGTAGAGAAGTCCAAAGCCCAGAGAAAAGTTATGTGATTGGCCTAAATCGCATTGCTTGTCTTCTAAATAGTGTATTTTTTTTATTAAATCATAACTGTGTGCTGATTTTATATGTAATTTGGAATGCTTACATCATACTGGTTAATATGGCCTTCACCTCACTTTCTTAATGGTTGTGTTAAGACATTTATACTCTACTCTTTTTTTTTTTTT